TAAGTGTTTTAATAAAGTTTCTTGAATTGAAACGGTACAGAATGGAACAGTAAATTTAGTTATGCGCCAACGTAACAATATTAACGCTCCGAGAATTAAGTTACTAACTCTGTGACTTAACGCATAACATTAAAAAAATAACTAAATTTTTGTTAAGTTACGGGTCCCTGCCTCCACCCGCCGCTTCTCCGCGCGCCCGCTCCCACCACCGCTCTCTGTTTTTGTTCTTCTTAGTTCCGGCCAACGCTCCATTGAAATACCCTACAGGTTGTATTTGCGTTGGGCGGCGGCGGTGGGCGGCGGCCATCTTTGATCCAGTCATGGGCGGGCTCCTGCAGCGGTAGCATAGGTAAGTGGCCTTTCTGGTCGGGTTTTCATGATTTTAGCGTAAAGCACGAATAACAAAAAAAAGATTTGCTGTGCCAGCTAAAACATTGACTGGTATTTGGACAGATAACATGATAAGTTTCTGGAAATACTATATGAGCTATATTGTAATCGATTATTGACTGTAAGTCGATTATTGACGCTGGGAACCAATGTTCCTACAATCTGCATATTATTTCCCAGAGTCAATAATCGACTGCCACAGTCAATAATAGATTATAATAGCTCATATAGTATTTCCAGAAACTTATCAGGTTATCTGTCCAAATACCAGTAAATGTATTAGCTGGCACAGCGAATCTTATTTTCCGTGAGATGTCGTGTTTATCCGGCTTTTTGGTTGACTGGGCGTCTGTTTATCCACCAGACCAGATATTTTCGTTGGTTTTCGTCAGGAATATGTCGCATTAAGTAAAAATACTGGGTGGTGCGGGCCGGCTGCCGGCTCTTTCGGCGCTTTCCTTTAGTGGGTTTCCTACGTTCCGCCCGCATGTAAATAAGTATATCCAAATGACACTTTCGGGTATACTTTTGCAAAAAGTATACACTAGGTATACCTAAAATATAGCAGATTGGAACCGCCACACTCTGGTGGCACTTGAGGCAAACTTTTTTCATACTTTTTGTATACATTTTTTACACTTTTAAGACACTTTGGACAGTCACATTTTTAGCTCTTTTTCCAGTGCGGGAAGTGTGTGAATGTAGCAC